ATCACAACCAAATATTACCTATATTTCCACGTTGAATGACTTGGTGTGACCAGTGGGAAGTCTGCTCACAGTATAGACTGTTGGGACTGGGCATCAGACAAGTGTCTGGGGTAACACACTGTGTCTGTCTGGGGATGGAGTCAGACAGACATACCGTCTGGGGCTACAGCCAGATGACCTGTACTGGGGCTATGGTTAGAAACTTTTACTCACCAAGGAAATTAACACAGAGTCAACACAACAGAACCCCTCCACAACATCAGACTTTGACTCCAAAACCCAATACTTTTCCTGATACATCAACACCCAATGGTATTTACCCATTACCAGTTCTCTCTCTCTCTCTCTCTCTCTCTCTCTCTCTCTCTCTCTCTCTCTCTCTCTCTCTCTCTCTCTCTCTCTCTCTCTCTCTCTCTCTCTCTCTCTCTCTGTATGTCCGTCTCTGTCTCACTCTCTCTCTCTCTCTGTATGTCCGTCTCTGTCTCACTCTCTCTCTCTCTCTGTATGTCCGTCTCTGTCTCACTCTCTCTCCTCTCCTCTTCTCTCCTCTCCTAACCATCTTAGCACTCAATTACGACCAAACAGTCAGTACTTCAAACACGGCCGAGATGTAATTAATCTGCACGGAAGCAGTTTTAGCTAATCAATCCGATGGACTCACATTGGCAGTGAGCATACAGGCTTTATTGGATTATAGAGTGAGCATTTCCTCCATTCACACACTACTAAGGGCTAAACCAGGAAGACTCCCTACAGCAGATGCTCGTGGAGGTCCGCAGGAGGCCAAGGCACAGCTGTGCCTCTTTTTCAATTACAGACCCTCATCTGGTGCCCGCTGCCTTGTTTTGGAGGGTGAGAGGGAGAGTGTACGCCCTCAGAATATATGAGAGAGATTAATGTTAACACAGATCCAGCTATGGGTACAGTGTTGATGAGTTTGTGTGTGTGTGTGTGTGTGTGTGTGTGTGTGTGTGTGTGTGTGTGTGTGCGTGCGTGCGTGTGTTTAGGTATGTGTGTGCGTATGTGTGTCCATCCCACCATACATACATACAATGGGGTCCAAAATTATTGACACCATTGATAAAGATGAGCAATAATGACTATAAAATAAATAATTCAAATACTGAGCTAAAATGTATATTGTATGCTAAATTTTTAGGGGAAATTATAATATTTTATACTAATACAATAGTAATCCTGAATTAATCATGAATGAATCGTGAATAATGATAAGTGAGAAAGTTACAGAGGGTCAAAGATCATACCACCAAGACATGCTAACCTCCCCTGTTATTGGTAATTGTGAGAGGTTAGCATGTCTTGGGGGTATGATCATTGACCCTCTGTAACTTTCTCACGCATCATTATTCACGATTCATTCAGGATTATCCGTAATCATGGTAGCATCTACATTAATGAAGAAGTGTTTAGAAACCTATTCTATTCTTATTTATAATAAAAGTGACTCCAAAATGACACAATACATTATGTACCATTCATTTCTATTGGGCACAAATAATCTGAAACGCAACCAAAACGAACTGAAAATGCATCCAACAAGTTTATAGAGTCACAGGGTTGATGTAGTCATTGCGTGCTAGGAATATGGGACCAAATACTAAACGTTTGACTACTTTATTTATCAGAATCTTTAGGGGTGTCAAACATTTTGACCCCTTTGTCCCCTACCTTTTTGAGAAAAAAAGCATTACTTGTTGAACAAAATCTCTTTCTCTGAGTAATTGTATTAGTATAAAATAATATATATATATTCTGTGCATACAATATAGCTCAGTATTTGAATTATTTATTTTATACAGTCCTTATTGCTTATCTTTATGAAGAGTGTCAATAATTTCACACCCCACTGTACATACTTTACATACACTGAACAAAAATATAAAGGCAACATGTAAAGTGTTGGTCCCATGTTTCATGAGCAGAAATAAAAGATCCCAGAAATGTTCTAAACGCAGAAAAAGTTTATTTCTCTCAAATGTTGCGCACAAATTTGTTTACATCCCTGTTAGTGAACATTTCTCCTTTGCCAAGATAATCCATCCACCTGACAGGTGTGGCATATCAAGAAGCTGATTAAACAGCATGATCATTACACATGTGCACCTTGTGCTGGAGACAATAAATGAGGGAGCTCACAATTGGCATGCTGACAGCAGGAATGTCCACTAGAGCTGTTGCCAGATAATTGAATGTTCATTTCTCTACCATAAGAGAATTTGGCAGTACGTCCAACTGGCCTCACAACCGCAGACCATGTGTAACCACACCAGCCCAGGACCTCCACATCCGGCTTCTTCACCTGCGGGATTGTCTGAGACCAGCCATCCGGACAGCTGATGAAACTGTGGGTTTGCACAACCGAATAATCTCTGCACAAAATGTCAGAAACCTTCGAAGGGAAGTTCATTCTTGATCTGACTACAGTTCGCCGTCGTAACCGACTTCAGTGGGATCTCAGGGATTCCAACATGAGGCCAATGGTGATTTTAAAACAGTTCAAGAGTTTAATGGCTGTGATAGGAGAAAACTGAAGATGGATCAAAACATTGTAGTTACTCCACAATACTAAACTAAATGACAGAGTGAAAAGAAGGAAGCCTGTACAGAATACAAATATTCCAAAACATGCATCTTGTTTTCAATCAGGCTCTAAAGTAAAACAGCAGAAAATGTGGTAAAGAAATGAACGTTATGTCCTGAATACAAAGCATTATGTTTGAGGCAAATCCAACATGCTACATCACTGTGTACCACTCTAAATATGTTCAAGCATGGTGGTGGCTGCATCCATGTTGCTAAATGGCCTAGTTACAGTTGACTTAAATCGGCTTGAAAATCTATGGCAAGACTTGAAAATGGCTGTCTAGCAATGATCAACTATCAACTTGACAGAGCTTGAAGAATTATGGGCAAATATTGTACAATCCAGGTGTGCAAAGCTCTTAGAGACTTACCCAAAAATACTCACAGCTGTAATCACCACCAAAGGTGCTTCTACAAAGTATTGACTCAGTGGTGTGAATACTTATGTTAATGAGATATTTCTGTATTTAATTTTCAAAAATAATTCAAAAATGTCTAAAAACCTGTTTTCACTTCGTCATTATGGGTTATTGTGTGCAGAAGGGTGAAAAAAACAACAACATTTAATCAATTTTGAATTCATTCTGTAACACAACAACCTGTGGAATAAGTCAATGGGTATTCATATTTTCTGAAGGCACTTCATACAGAAGGTGAATTGATGGCTTATTGGTTGAATGGACACAATTCTGATTACACGACTATACTTTAAAAGTCACCCTTAGAAGTTGAATGTAGGCGATGTCTCACCACTTCACTCAGTGTTTATTTGACCTATGCTCTTGTCTCTCAAAGATAGACCACATTAACATTAAAAAGGAGAACAGAAACAGCAGGGGTTTTCCAGGAACTTATTTTGGCAAATAAGGTTTGTGTTATTTATCAGTCCTTCCATCCTTCAAAGGTCAAGGACAACTAGGTTTGTTACTAATACCATTTGGTATGATTTTACAGTATGTGACTGTCCTAATATGGACACCATAGCAGCATAATCACATACACAGAAACTATTGTAATTTACACTCATGTTCTCTCTCTGTTTGAATGCAGGTGGTCATTCTGTATTTCCAGCCCAGTGTATTCCGCTGTATCTTGTTGAGATGGGTTCGCCTGTTGGGATTCACCACAGTCTATGGGACAGTGACCCTAAAGCTATACAGGTACTATTTTACCATGTTTAATCATTATTATTAACCAGGAATGGGATAAATTATGTTATATTGCTACCTGCTGAGTAATTACTTTAGGATGAGAGTCATGTCCCAAGAAAGGGACTCTGGAAAGTACTTGATTGATGGGTTTTTAAAGGGTTACATGCAGTGGAAAACACACATGCACGCGCATGTGTAACAGAATATATTCTACACGCACACACACACACACACACACAGCTCAACATTTTCATAAATAAACAGGGTGATTCATTGGCAGTTTCTAGATGGCCATGTTATTAAATGTCACATCCATCTCTAGGTGACTGGGGCTGTCCTATTTCACAGGGACATCCCAATACCAATGTCCTGGGAACACCAGAGAAAGATGTGCACTAAGAGAGGAAGGGAAGGATTCTACTGTAGTTGATTGTGTACTGGAGGAAAGAAGCTAAGGTTGAACATAGCCAATCACATCCTGCCTGTGCTCTGCCAGCTTTAGAGTTCAGGGTGTTACTCAAGGATATGGTTTACTCTGAACATGAATCAAATGGAATGCTATAAGGGCCATTCTGCAAACATTCAAAGTCTGTCTCATCCGCAATGGTAATGAACTAAAGGAAAGGGAAAACAATGGAAAGGATATACCCCAAGGTCCGGTTTCCTGGACCTACAGTAGATTAAGCTCCTGGACTAAAAACATATTTCACTGCAGATGAGACAAAGTCTGGCACATACAATTACAGTAATTTACAGTAATAATGTATTAAGTCCTGTAAGTGCATTCACATTTACAGTACAATCTCTTGTTTTATCCACCAGCCACCTACATTTGTCTCAACCTCATTAAACAAGCCAGTTAATACCTATTGACCCACTGTGATACTGTGAAAGTAAGAGCCCTGATAAAGTATGGGGTGCAGCTAGTGGTGTTTCTTGGCTTGTTCATCAGGCCACACTTTAGAAAATATTCACTACCTCGTTAAGCGAGACTGAGAGTTTGCCCAGTTAAAGTTTGGGAGGAAGAGAGGGGAGAAAAAACAAACAACAGAGAGCACTTTGGCCCAAATGGTCTCAATTTATTACATTTTATCGAATGGCTGAGACAGGCCATGAGGCAGAAAACAAATAGAGTGAGGAATGATGGTAGAAAGAGGGAAACCACTTAGTCAAAGCTAGCTGTGGGAGAGAGGGGGGGATCTAGAGGAGGAGAGGAGGAGGCTGAGCCCCTGTGAACGGTTGATAATGAGACATGGGGCGGACGTATTTAAAGAGATACAGGAGCGTGATCGGAAATGGCGACAGCGGCAGGGTTCTCGGCAGGTGTAAGTGCCAAAAATACCTAATGAAGCTCTTAATTATGGTGAGGGGAAATTAATTTAGGCAAGGGTAATCGGAAGGTGAGTTGTGGAGGAAGTCATGGAGGGGAAAGTGAGCACAATGCATAGATCCATTTTTGAGAGAAGCTCATTAGGGGGATGCACAGGACACTTCATCAATGTGTCTGGAAGTTTAGGGGCTAATAATGAGGATAGGCTGATGTTAGAACACTTAACGGGGCCTCTCTGTCTCTGAAGGCCCCCATGGCTGTTCATTTGAGAAAAGGGAAGGGAATTAAGAGACATAGCAATGCCACTATTACATCATTACATTGAAATCATTGCATGATGATGCTGATGAGAAAGATGAAAGTGACTATAATGACGAATGTTTAGGTAATTCATAGATGAAGATGACAATAAAAACACAACAATAAAATCAACAAGAAGCACCACAACAGCACCTCTCCTTGTCTTGATGTTGCGCTGCCCCATTTCCCCAGGGTCCTGAAGGTGTTCCTGTCACGAACGGCCCAGCGGATCCCCTACATGACCAGTTGGCGGGTGCTGCGCCTGCTGGCCATTATCCTGCTCATCGTCTGCTGGTTCCTGGTGGCCTGGACCTCGGCCGTCTGCCAGAACCTGGACAGGAACCTGGCCCTCATCGAGGTGGGCTACACCCCTGACCCGGACAGCCTCCAGTTCAGCATGTGCCTGCTAGATCGCTGGGACTACATGATGGCCGTCGGTAAGTGACATTTTAAAAATCTTTATTTAACCTGGAAACTCTTTTGTGTTGGCGATAATAATACATGCCACTTAGCAGACTCTGCAAGCGAGTGCATTTTTAGTATGTGATGCTTGCGGGAATTGCCAGCTCCTTTCGCTCACCAACTGAGACAGAACCACAGTGATCTTACTGCTTCCTCTTAAAGATACGAGGGCCAATCATGTATTTTATGGCTTAAGAGAGAGAGAGAGAGAGAGAGAGAGAGAGAGAGAGAGAGAGAGAGAGAGAGAGAGAGAGAGAGAACACTTATACATATATTATATGAATACGTTGTTTTTGGGATAGATTCCCTTTTTATATGGAGTTTATCTTGTGATACATGTGCCTGATTTTGAAAATGGGGTCGTGAGAGAAAAATAAATACAAAATTGCTCTTGGTTCATTGAACCAGAGTCACGTCAGTAGCCGCTAGATGCAGTTGTAATAAACAGAGCGGTTTCGGTTTTCTTCTTACAAATGTGGCTCTATCTTTTTTCTTCTTTTTGTTTTGTACGATTTTTTAAACTATTTTTTTATAATACAAAACATAAACATACAAACGACAGTCTCCAGCGCCCGTATCACTCTCCACCACATGGCCTCAAACTGCACCATTTTGTTTCTCTCCGTCACCCACACACTTTCAACATTTAGATAATAAAGCATTTGATCTTTCCATTGTTTTAACGATGGAGGATTGGTTGATTTCCAGTTTGTAAGTATACGTTTTTTCAAGATGATTGACGAGAAAAGTATTGTCCAACCCATCGGGTATCTTTTGAACGGTTTAAGCTACAAAATATTATGACCCCTTCACTGAAAGATAAGACTCTCAGGAACACGTGTGTGTCTTCTGTTTCCCTCAAACCATGCCTTGGGTAGCCTGCAAGTCAGCCCAAATTGAGAGTGAAAAGCAGACTTGTTTTAAGCATATGCTGTCTAAGGTCCAGGAAAACAGAACGCCGGCCCTGCTTTGTATTTGTGCAACAGGTGTAGCCCAGGACAACCATTACGAGCTGTGATCTAATGAAGCCAAACATCTTTGTGTTCAAGAAGGGCAAAACTGGAGAATGGAACACAGGGTTGTTTTCAAAGTCCAGCTAAATTTGACTCACTAAGCTGTGTATGAGCAACTGGGTCGTTCCATGAAATGAGTCCCTTTATTTTATTTTATTTTATTTTACCTTTATTCAAGCAGTGAGTCACCATTGAGACCAGGGTCTCTTTCACAAGGGAGGCCTGCATATACAATTTCATAAGACAAAATCAAAAATCTAATACAACATAAAACAAGTAAAATGCAGCACAACACAAATATTTTAAAAAAACATTACATTCCTCAATAAGAAGGTTTGATGTTTTAAGTAGAAATTGTGCACCAATATCGGATTTTAAAAGCCTGTTATATTAAATAGAGTTCTCTTTAATATATACTGTAAATAAAATTCAGCATTTTGGCATGTCCCTCTGTGTACCCTCTGTGACTTCTAGGAAGGTTTTTACCAATTTAACCCCAACATTTTCCAAGTTTTCATAATCATTGTAAAGCCCTAGTTATTTTGTTGCTTTCACAATGTCATTTCTGAAGATGATTATTTATTTAATGTGATTATTGATTCATTTTAATATTTAAAAAACAACAACAATGTCAACCCTATTAAGTGAACTGAACTCTCATTTTAATATGGTGAAACTATTATTTAAAAAGAATTATTATTCAAAATAAATATTGAACATCTACAGTGCCTTCAGAAAATATTCACACCCCTTGACTTTTCCCACATTTTGTTGTGTTACAGCCTGAATTTAAAATGGATTAACATGAGATTGTGTGTCACTGGCATACACACAATACCCCATAATGTCAAAGTGGAATTATGTTTTTTGACATTTTTACAAATTAATGAAAAATGAAAAGCTGAAATGTCTTGAGTAAAGAGTATTCAACCCCTTTCTTATGGCAAGCCTAAATAAGTTCAGGAGTAAAAATGTGCTTAACAAGTCACATAATAAGTTGCATGGACTCACTCTGTGTAGTAATGGTGTTTAACATGCTTTTGAATGACTACCTCATCGCTGTACCCCACACATACAATTATCTGTAAGGTCCCTCAGTCGAACAGTTAATTTCAAACACAGATTCAACCACAATGACCAGGGAGGTTTTCCAATGCCTCACAAAGAAGGGCACCTATTAGTAGATGGGTAAAAAAAAATACATTGAATATCCCTTTGAGCATGGTGAAGTTATTAATTACACTTTGGATGGTGTATCAATACACCCAGTAACTACAAAGATACAGGCATCCTTCCTAACTCAGTTGCCCGCAAGGAAGGAAACCTCTCAGGGATTTCACCATGAGGCCAATGGTGACTTTGAAACGGTTACAGAGTTTAATGGCTGTGATAGGAGAAAACTGAGGCTGGATCAACAACATTGTAGTTTCTCCACAGTACTAACCTAAATAACAGAGCGAAAAGAAGGAAGCCTGTACAGAATAACAATATTCCAAAACATGCGTCCTGTGTGCAATAAGGCACTAAAGTAAAACTGCAAAAAACATGGCAAAGAAATGAACTTTATGTCCTGAATACAAAGCATTATGTTTGGGGCAAATCCAACACAACACATCACGGAGTACCACTCTTCATATTTTCAAGCATGGTGGTGGCTGTATCATGTTATGGGTATGCTTTTATGAGTATGCTTGTCAATGGCAAGGACTAGGGAGTTTTTTAGGTAGAAAAACAACAACAGAATAGAGCTAAGCACAGGCAACATCCTAAAGAAAAACCTGGTTCAGTCTGCTTTCCAACAGACAGTGGGAGACAAATTCACATTTCAGCATGACAATAACCTAAAACAAAAGGCCAAATATACACTGGAGTGGCTTACCAAGACGACATTGGATGTTCCTGAGTGGCCTAGTTACAATTTTGACTTAAATCGGCTTGAATATCTATGGCAGGACTTGAAAATGGCTGTCTAGAAATGATCAACAACCAACTTTATTATTTTTATTTTACCCTTATTTTACCAGGTAAATTGACTGAGAACATATTCTCATTTACAGCAACGATGTGGGGAATAGTTACAGGAAAGAGGAGGGGAGATGAATGAGCCAATTGGAAGCTGGAGATGAGAAGGTGGCCATGATGGTATGAGGGCCAGAGGGGGGAATTTAGCCAGGTCACTGGGGTTAACACCCCTACTCTTTCGATAAGTGCCATGGGATCTTTAGTGACCACAGAGAGTCAGGACACCCGTTTAACGTCCCATCCAAAAGATAGCACCCTACACAGGGCAATGTCCCCAATCACTGCCCTGGGGCATTGGGATATTTTTTTGACCAGAGGAACTTGACAGAGCTTGAAGAATTTAAAAAATAATAATGTGCAAATATTGTACAATCCAGGTGTGCAAAGCTCTTAGACTTACCCAGAATGACTCACAGCTTTAATCGGTGCCAAAGGTGATTCTAACATTGACTCAGGGGTTTGAATACTTATTTTATTTTACAAATGTTCGAATTTTTCTTCCACTTTGACATATTTTTCTTTCACTTTGAGTATTTTGTGTATATCGTTGACAAAAAAATGACAATTCAATCATTTTAATCCCACCTTGTCACAAAAAAATTGGAAAAAGTTAAGGGGTGTGAATACTTTCTGAAGACACTGTAATAGTCAAATCATAGTCTAAAAGCAGGTGAGCTGGTTCTACTCTTTTTGGCCATTTTCTGGTGTTTTGTGGTGAAAAACTGAGCGGGTCGAGGATAACACGTCAACCCTGTTACCCATAGATAGACAGGCTAGAAATATTTTAACAATTGAATTTTTTTGTAACAAGGGGATTCATGGCTGATTTAAGATTAAATCATCAACCCTGTTACGGTCAACCCTGTTACTTTATTTGGCACATAGTAGACACTTACTATAGACATTTATTTTATTTTACCTTATTAAAATATGTCATGACAGAATGTTAAAATAAGGTGAGTTACACTACCCAAAAGGGACTTCTTTCGCGGAACGACTCAACTATAGGAAACACAGGGCGGCCATTTTGTGTTGTCGCTTATTGATGTAGACCTAAATATCTATCCAGGGCCATGGTAGATTACAGACTGTCAGAGCTCTTGATGGATCTTAGTCCTTAGATAAACATAGCTCACTCAAAATGCCATTTGTTATGGCACTCAATAGTGTTTATCCTGCTGTGTAATGTACATAGGCCTCTGTCAGACCTTGGAGCACTTCCTTGGAGCACTTTCCATTCATGCAGACAAACAATGTGAATGTCAAAATAATGGTGACTAATTTCCATGGAAACGGCAGACGTTTATTGCTGTCAAGCCGGCTAAGCTACACCCAGAAAACCTTGGACGAATCTCATACAGCTTCATCTGCAGTTGTCACTCATGGAGTGTCCAGAGAATACATCCAGTAGGAGCAGGTTTGCATTTTCGTTGCATTTATTGAACATGTCGTTTTTCAACATGCCAGTGTTAGACAATCTATATTGCCCTGAGTCCATGAAATCAGTTAACTGTGGAGTGCATGGGTGGTCGATGTCGATAGTAATACTGCTAAGGTGAGGAGGGGAGCATTTAAGGGTGAAAACTCCCATGCTATCCTCCTTTGCATTCCAAGCTTAATGCATAGGCTATGTATGTATTGCTTGTTGTTACTCTTATGTCTTTCCCCCTGAGTATAAATAAAGTATTCTATCTATCTATTTTTAAAGGGGCAATCAGCAGTTGCTACATTTTGAAGAATATACCTTATAAATGCCTCATGAGTTTAGTTCAACTGTTGTATCCCATCAGAACCCAAATTATAAGCTTGTTTCACTCCAATGTTTGTAAACAAAGGAAATATAAACAAACACTACAGCCTCAAAACATGCTTAAAACTATAATTTTGATATCATGGATGATCAGTCCTTGTATCCATAGCTATATCTATGAATTTGACTGTGGTTACATTTCTCCAGCCCCATCACTCAGCTTTTTACCGAAACAGGGGCTGGGAAAAAGCGTTGTTATTATTGCTACTGCTGATTTCCGCTTTAACTCCTCTCCTACAGTAGCTGTATAGTTTCCATTGTGTAGAAGTTCTCTATATCCTTCTTCCTGTTTCTCCCACAGCGGAGTTCCTGTTCCTGCTGTGGGGAGTGTACCTGTGTTACACTGTGAGGACAGTGCCGTCGGCCTTCCATGAGCCCCGTTACATGGCCATCGCCCTCCACAACGAGCTCATCCTGTCTGCCATCTTCCATGTTATTAGGTAAAGACCCCAACCTGTGGTGGGGAGAGATATGACAGTATGGATGTGTATTTATTTTGTCATATTTAGCTATATTTAGAGATTAGTATATGGATTGAATATTACACATCATGGACTTTAATATGTTTTATAGATAAACAATCTGACACTTTCTTATCACTCACTGTTGGCTTGCCTATTGCTGTACACCAATTTGCAACTATATTCAATGAGCCACAAGTTTAGTATCTATGCATTTCAAAGGGGAGTTTTGTTATGGTATCCAAGACTGAATGTGCCCTCTGCTTTCCGTGTAGCCTGTATATCAAGTACTAGACATCCTAAATTAGATGTTGCACCGTTTCAGCTGACACCACCAAACCCATTCCCAGTTGGAATCCTCCTTATTGAGAGCTCAGCTACATCAGATTATTCAGTCATTAGGCACGTCATCATGATTTATGTTTTGACACACCATAGATATTCAGAGCTATTGGCAGCATAATTTAAGTTAGACGTTAACAGAAATTACAGAAAAATTGCCCGCCAATGTTTCCCACAAATAGGATGGGAAGACATTTTAACCGGTCTGTTATATTTGTCCTGTTTCACACATGTACAAGTGCATATCCCAACTTCCCATGAGACACCCTTGGAGAGTGGGGTCAAGGCCAGCCATTATCAACGGCAACCCTGGAGCAATTAGGGTTAAGTTGGATTGCTCAAGGGCACATAAACATATTTTTCACCTTGTCAACTCATGGACCTTTCAGTTGCTGACCCAACCTTCTAACAGCTAGGCTACCAGTATTAGCTAGAAATTTGACACCCAGCGTGTGTTTATGCCGTCGTTTGACTTCTGTTATGGCGTTGGGATGGTTTTAGCAGCTAAAAGCAAGACGAGGCCCAACGTAAATGCAAAATGTGTCTTGTCTGTTTGGGAGATGCTGAGAGCTTGTCACCAGGGAGTATCACCTGGGCTTGTTAGAGCTAAAATAATCTATGGCTGTTACTCATAGAACCTGCATGTGGTCCCACTGTGGCCAGTTAAAGTCAAGGATACTTTCTGTGGCATCTGTAGGGACAATTAGGGAACTCTCTGTGCTAAGTGTTCAGATCATTATTTGTGATTATTTCACAATCCACAAATTTACTCATCGCTCTACCGATGATTTTACTGAATGTTTGCTTAATGAGGTGTTTTGGGAAACACTCATGAAAATGTACCACCCGTTCTCTCTAGACCTTAGCCTCCCCTCATGGTTTTTAGCTATAACTACTTTAACTGTACATTAAATAACCATTCACCAACTCCTGCCAAGTAATGAGCCTGCTGGATGCCATTTACTGGGATGTAGGCTTTCAAGTGGTTAAATTACTGTGTGACAGGACACGCCTCCTAATCACTCAACCTGGTTTCAGAGCAAATTCATATTATTCTGTACGTAAAACCACGACACTCCATTTAATATGATATGTTACATTTCGTATGGTTTGTATTAACTTGTGGATGTTAGGTTAGGGGTTAGGGGTTAAGGTTAGGAGTTTGGTTAATGGTTACGTTACGAATTCTAATTTGTTGTGGCTAACGTTAGCTAGGTTAGGATTAGGGGTAGGGGAAGGTTAGCTAAAAGGGTTAAGGTTAGGGTTAGGGGAAGGGTTATCTAACATGCTAAGTAGTTGCCAAGTAGCAAGTAGTTGAAAAATGGCTAATGAGATAAAATGCTAAAGTTGTCCATGATGAGATTCAAACATGCAACCTTTTGGTTACTAGACGTTCGCGGTATACGCCACCATGACCAACCATCCTCCTTTAGTTTTTGCCTTAAGTAACCTTCTGTCTTACGTAACCATACCAAACGTAACATACAGTATCATACTCATTTCAGTGTCCCGGACAATGAGACCAGGCTGAATCACTACACTGTAGCTACTGTAATTAAAGCACTATTCCACTATTACATTTTGGTCACTCTGGACACTGTTAGTATGTTTCCTCCTTGGTCGTCGGTCCAGAAGTCAGTAGAAAATAGAATTGCAGTGGATCTGTAATCAATGTTGTTGCTGCCTCAAAATGCCTTTTTTAATATAGTTCAGCAAGGAAGCCACTGGGCACAGACGTCTATTCCAACCTCTATTCCACGTTGGTTTCAATGAAATTACGTGGAAACAACATTGATTCAACTAGTGTGTGCCCAGTGGGAAGTTATCAAGCTGCTTCTTCTAAATCAGAGAGAATCAGTGCCCTATACAGTAACAATCTAAGGTGAAGACAATCTCCCTGATGGGAAATGGATTACTGAGGCAATAATCAGCATGGATAAACCACTCCAAGCAGTGGAATGAAATATGTTCACGCCCAGACAGACAGTGCATAAATCGAGTTTGGTTTAAAATTAACATGTTATATCCTGTGTATGTCTCTCACACTGTCTGTGTCTGAGGGGTTTACTGCAGCACAACAATACATGTCTTACTTGATACAGTACACAAAAACCACTGTCATTCACTTAAATTCTGCAACGTGCATTATGTGCTTAGTGTGATGCTTACAATCAGTTGTTTTGTCTGTCACGCTATAATGTTTCTGCCAATGACTTTTTGGTTACGGGTTAGGTTTACAGCTAGAATGAAATAACATTGCCTGTCACAATCTTTAAATATGACATGTATGGATCAGCTATCGAATAAAAACATGCTAACGGTGACATTGTGTAGTGGAGCTAACAGGCCTAATATCTTCACTGTAAACTGTCAGTTAGGCAGATGCCAGCACTCAGTGGATTTCTCAATGAGCTCTATGATTAATGACTCTGCATAGCATTATTCAAATGGGAATCTCATCTGTACCCCAACACAACCTCTGCTAAATATAGAACCGGGTCCTACTGTATGTCTTGTAATGTGTTTTTTATTACAGTTTCACACTCCCTTTTTTTGCTTACCGTCTCTCTCTCTCTCTCTCTCTCTCTCTCTCTCTCTCTCTCTCTCTCTCTCTCTCTCTCTCTCTCTCTCTCTCTCTCTCTCTCTCTCTCTCTCTCTCTCTCTCTCCTCTCTTTCTCTCTCAATTCAATTCAATTCAATAGACTTTATTGACATGGCAAGTTAAATTACTTACATTGTCAAAGTATACATATAACAAAAATGGTGGGACCAACAGCAATAATAATAGTAGTAGTGGAAATTGGATTACCATTAACAGCAACTACAACAACAATATTAATGAGAATAACAATACATTAAAACAAATGAATATTACATTTTATAGTTTCAAATTCTTTGTACTGAATGATAATTTTGGGAAAGAAAGATTCTCTTAGGTCTGAGTAGTTGTCACAGTGTAATAGGAAATGCAGCTCTGTCTCTACCTCTCCCCAGGGGCAGAGTGAGCAAAGCCTGTCCTCTCTGGGCAGCCAGGTTTGCCTGTGACGACCGGTCTCTATAGCCAGACTGTGCTCACTGAGTCTGTACCTAGTCATTGTTTTCCTCAGTTTTCTATCAGTCACAGTGGTCAGATAGTCTGCCACCATGTACTGTCTGTTTAGAGCCAAATAGCATTGAAGTGTACTTTTATTTTTTGTGGTGTCTTTCCAATAGTTGATATATTTTTATTTTTGCTTTGTGATGATTTGGTTGGGCCAGATTTTCTGAGTGCTCTCCTGAGGCTCAATGAGGTTGGTTTGGGTTAGTGAACTGTGCCTCAGAACCAGCTGGCTGAGGGGACTCTTCTCTTGTATCATCTCATGACATAGTAGAGCTGTGTGATGGAATGTTTTGGGGTCACTTGTTTTTAGATGGTTGTAAAATTTGATGGCTCTTTTTTCTATTCGAATAAGGAGGGGGTATTGGCCCAATTCTGCTCTACATGCGTTATTTTGAGTTTTTCTTTGCACTTGCAATACAGTCTTGCAAAACTCTGCATGCAGTATTTCGATTGGATGTTTGTCCCATTTGGTGAATTCATTATTAGAGAGCGGACCCCATACTTCGCTGCCATATAGAGAAATTGGTTCTATAACTGATTGGAAAATGTGAGCCAGATTCTAATGGGAATGTCGAGGGAAGAGGCAGGGGAGCGCAGAAGAAGCACGAAGGAGCTACGCACGCGCGGCGGCGATAGCGCGGAGCGAGAGCGCAGAGAGCAGCACGAAGGAAGAAGAGAGCGAGAGGAGAGAGAGAGAGCGCGAGACGAGAGGAGAGAGGAGAGGAGAGAGGCGAGAGAGAGAGAGCGGCGCGAGAAGAGGACGCAGCCAGAGAGAGCAGAGGAGAACGAAGAGCGAGAGGAGAAGCGTAGAGAGAGATAGAGAGAGAGAGAGAGAGCAGACTAGAGATAAGAGAAAGCTAGAGATGCGCGTGTATCTCTCTCTATCTCGCTCTCTCTCTCTCTCTCTCTCTCTCTCTCTATCTCTCTCTCTCTCTCTCTCTCTCTTCTCTCTCTCTCTCTCTCTGTACAGGTTTACTCTTGCACCTGAGCTCCACCCAGACTGGATGCTGTTACTATGGTTTGCTCACACCCACCTGACTGTAACTGTCACTCTGGGGCTAATGATTGTCCCCAAGGTAAAGCTCTTATTCTGAGCATAGCATTACTTGCTATTTTACATCGAAACCAAATCAAACTAAGTCATTGCACTCTCTTTTGTCGACTACAGTTTCTGTTTCATGGTACTCACATGAGAGATGATATTGCCTCTGAGGCCTATGAGGATGAGTTGGACATGGGTCGCTCTGGATCTTACCTCAACAGCAGCATAACATCAGCCTGGAGCGAACACAGTCTGGATCCAGAGGACATCCGGGTGAGCAGCCTTCCCTTTCCATTTTTTAAAATCTATTCTCTCATTTAATTGCATAACCTTGTTGATACAGTAGCTTTTGAATCCTTGTCCTCTGACTGTGGCAAAAAGAAAGATTTTTGCAGACGTAAGGTCTAGCGACAGTCTTTAGGAAAAATGTAGCAATGTGAGCAGAGGTTTCTGTTTGTTAGAGCTGAAGAAGTCTCTTGCCAAAGACTTGAGCACATTGTCCAAGTGTATTTATCAGTGCGAGAGATAAGATCTCCTATTTCTATGCTACCCATGCTTAGGTTTTGTTTTTGCATCTTTTACTTTCGGTTTTGTACACCAGCTTTAAACAGCTGAAAATACAATATTTTTGGTTATGGAAAATATATTTTACAGCAGTTTAGATGGTACAATGATTCTCTACACAATGACTGCTTGTTTTTTCACATAAACTGAAATTAGGTGAACTGTTAGAGTTTTAGCAACCAGGAAATGGCGAAGCGATTTCTGCCTATTGCATCTTTAATACTGTCCAAAACCTGTCTTTTATTTATGTCAAAGAGCATGTTATACACTGTAGTACGTTGTTGAAGCACTGTCAGTAGTTTAAGCACCGTTCGTGTTTCAAATTCAAATGTGCATGTTCTGTATGCAATAGATGCATCGTTAAAACACTTGGAAGCTTAAGTTGAATCGCTATCGGAAAACAGGCCCAGTTTACTTTTAGTCATATTCATTCATTTTAATGGCTCTTTTTTTCTTTTCTTATTCTTGTCCTTATGTGTTTTCAACAAATGTCCAGGAGGAGCTGAAGAAACTGTACTCCCAGTTGGAGATCTACAAGAGGAAGAAGATGTTGGCCAACAACCCTCACCTGCAGAAGAAGCGCAGCTCCAAGAAGGGACTGGGTCGTTCCCTGATGAGACGCATTACGGAGATCCCAGAGACGGTACACCGGCAGTGCAGCCGTGAAGACAAGGAAGGGGGCGATCATGGGAGCAATCGCAACAGCATCTGCGTCTTGAGAAAGAACCCATTCGACCCCTCTCATCCGGGGAAGCCTGCCAAAGAGGAGTCCCTGAAGAGCAAGGTCTTCACCCTGAAGAAGTCGCACAGTAGCTACGACCACGTCCGTGACCAGAGCGAGGACTCCAGCAGCTCTGCTACTGACAAGATGGAGGTTATGACCACTGAGGGATCCCTTATAGACACCTTGATGGGCAAAAAGCTGGTCAAGAAGAAGTCCAATGACAAGATAGATGCTGTGAGCGAATCGACTGAGAACGTTCCCTTGGTCTGCAAGTCGGCCAGTGCTCATAACCTGACACAAGACAAGAAGCCCATCCACCCAAGAACGTCCATGCTGCAGAAGTCACTGAGCGTCATCGCCAGCGCCAAAGAGAAGACCTTGGGCTTGACAGGAGGGAAGACACAGACTGTTGAAGACAGCAGCAAGAAGGTCCAACAGAACGCTAAAGAAACCAAGGAAAGTCCAGAGTCAGAGGATGATTGCTATCCCCACATGATCGGTAGCCAGTCGGTGGAATACAAGCAGACTGCAGCCAAAACTGGGATCATGAAGCAGCAGGTGAGTGGCAGCCAGCCGTCCATCTGTTCCGACCCATCGAAGGCCAAGGAAATCCAAGACCTCACAGAGGTGTGTCCTTGGGAAGTAGAGGACCTGCCAACACCTTCTGAGAACAGGGTCCAGAAGCATGTTTCCATAGCACCCGAGGAAACCACCACAGTCCATGGAAATGGAACCAAGGGGGTCAAGCCCCAACAGCAAAAGCAGAAAGGCAGTGACCAATCTTCCACAAGCTCCCGGCATTCTAAAGACATCCAGCGAGCAGAAATATGCCCTTGGGAGGATGGAGGTGAGAGCAAAGCCCCAGTGGAGGGATCCAAGCCGCAATCCTCCAGTCAGGTTCCTCAACCTGCTAAGAATATCCAGTCTAACCAGCCTCCACCTGCAGCAGAGAGCTCTAAAAAGAAGGTTGATGTATGCCCTTGGGACTTTGAAGAGGTGCCTGCCAAGACAGCTGAGGTAACTTGTTCACCTGACAAGACCAGGCACAACAAGTTCACTACTCCAGTGGAGAGCAAAGGGAATGGTGCTCTGTCAGAACCACCCTGCAAATCACCAGGCAGCTCTCTCCTCCAGCTGGTTGCAAAGGTTGACGTCTGTCCCTGGGATTATGACAACCCAGCTATATCTCCCAATTCTGAGAAAACTCCTAGTCCTACTACGGTTTCCAAAACAAAGGAATTCCCCTCCAAAAAGAAGAGCACACCTTTCACAAGAACTTTTGAGAAGGAGAAAGAGAAGGCAAAATACACTGACGATGACAACAGTAGAGCGAAAGCCAAGGACAGAAGTAAATCCACAGAGAAACATACGAGCCAATCCAAAATGACAGAAGTGTGCCCTTGGGACGTGGAGAGTGGTCAGGAAGTGCCAACGGTAGAAAAACAGAAAAGTGGCAATGTTGGAGCAGTTAAAGGGAAGCCAGTTGAAGTCTGTCCGTGGGATTATGAGGATGCATCAGAGAAAAAAGGAACAGACAAGGGTACTTCTGCAGTGAAACAGAGCAATCCAAAGCCCAAAGGGGGGGTTGTAAGTGGTGGGAAAAAAGCAGATGTATGTCCTTGGGACTTTGACGACAGTACTGCAGGGAAAAAGGCCTGACATAAATCAACATTTATGGACAACTGGAAATGTAGTTGTTGTATACATTGTTTTCCACTTTAGAATCCTCAAATATTGACTTTTACTATGAATATGGTGACTTGGACGAAAATAAGATAAAATTGCCTTCCTTTCCAATATTTCCCCCCCTTTTTTTGTCTTACAAAAACAAAGCAACAAAATCATATTAAGCATTCCAGATTCTTACAGAGTATTCTGAATGATAAATCTTAGTCGTACAATTATGCAACTTCCAATCCACTTTATGTGCAATGTTGAATAGACATTTCTCATGTTCTTTATTCAGTGGACATTTGCATTAAAAAAAAATATGTATCTTCTTTCAATCGGTCATATAAAGCACTCCACACACTAACATGGCACACTTAGAATATAAGGTGAATCGATATCATGTAAATAGATGTTCTGCTGCAGGTTTTATTAACTGAAATGTACTAATGGTTGAGCATGAACTACCATGTTTATGTTTAATGTCAGAGTGGCTTGTTGAACAAATAATAGAATGCCAAAGATATAGGGAACATCTTTAACAAAATGGTGTAAGAACTCACAACAATCGTGTCATGACAAACAACCTAATAACTTTTGTGTGCCCAAGCCAAGGCGCTGCTAGTGAGGGAATCAGCTTATAGCACTTTAGCGAAAACTTTAGTGAAAATTGTTTTTAATCACATACTTTATTCAGCCTCATGGTTCTAGCAAGTTAACACGTATACATCCATGTCTAAATTGCTGAGTTTTTAGATTTCCGTTAGTTCTCAGCAATGTCTAATGCTTCCAAGTTTGCAGAAATGTATTACTGTATGTGCCTAACTAACTAGAACTGTCTTCTTTCAGTCTGTATAAAGTCATGAGTGGAACAGGGATTGTTCTTCAGCATTCTGTGAAGGTGTATTATATAAACAGCATGCACAGCGAGGTAACGAGAGGGGTGGGATCCAAATGGTTTGTCAACTGAAGCAAATAATTCATTTGTGTTAATAATACTTTAGCATGTTTTTTTAACTGTTAGAAAAGCATTAGCTCATCCTTTTAAGCTTTTGCATTCCCAAAAGCGCATTGAGAGTTGAAATGATACAATGGAGGGAGGCAATATGGCATTAATGTGTGTCGAATTGTTCCTCTTTCTGTATAGAACATATACCTGTATTTGTGTTAGTTTTAGCATTTTTATACATACAGTATATTTCTAGTGTTTCAACTTTAATGCTCGTTTTATTGTCTTAGGACTTTTGCTTAACACTGTCTCTACAAATTCTTGGCAGAATAAATTCACACCTGGTTTTCATTATTCATATTCAAAAGTATTATTCATATTCACACTTTATGTCTAACGTTTCCAAAAGCTTCAATTGTTTGAGCAAGCAAAAAATATTTTTGCTTTCATGCATCAATTAAAGATGAATGTTTACAGGAATATCTGAGTTACAAAATAGGAATCATTTAATTGTAGTTTACTAACCTCTCTGGTTCCTAGCAACATCTGATGAAAAGTAATGTAATGGAAATAATATATCAATATAACATTAATATAACAGTGTACTCATTTAAATTAGATGGTATTTTGGACTGCGTTGAATGTTGTCATTGGTAATGATTCCTGTACAGCTATCATAGTTGTTTGTTACAGTTGGCATGGATTACTGTAGGGTATGATGCCTTGCTATGAGGCTTTAAAGTGAAGCAATACAAATGTTCATAAGTGACCATGAATGCGATTAGGTAATCACATTTCTGCTTCATTCAAATTATTACATTATCCTTTCTTTGCTCAGTAACTTAACAAGTAGATTTAACTTGTTTTCAAAAGCAAAATAATTCTCAAATAATATTTTTTAATGCTTTTATTATCTCTTTATTTTATTTCATTAGATCGATTTTGTTTAACAACCAAACAGGTACAGTACAGTGGGGAAAAAAAGTATTTAGTCAGCCACCAATTGTGCAAGTTCTCCCACTTCAAAAGATGAGAGAGGCCTGTAATTTTCATCATAGGTACACGTCAACTATGACAGACAAATTGAGAAAAAAAAAAATCCAGAAAATCACATTGTAGGATTTTTTATGAATTTATTTGCAAATTATGGTGGAAAATAAGTATTTGGTCACCTACAAACAAGCAAGATTTCTGGCTCTCACAGACCTGTAACTTCTTCTTTAAGAGGCTCCTCTGTCCTCCACTCCTTACCTGTATTAATGGCACCTGTTTGAACTTGTTATCAGTATAAAAGACACCTGTCCACAACCTCAAACAGTCACACTCCAAACTCCACTATGGCCAAGACCAAAGAGCTGTCAAAGGACACCAGAAACAAAATTGTAGACCTGCACCAGGCTGGGAAGACTTAATCTGCAATAGGTAAGCAGCTTGGTTTGAAGAAATCAACTGTGGGAGCAATTATTAGGAAATGGAAGACATACAAGACCACTGATAATCTCCCTCGATCTGGGGCTCCATGCAAGATCTCACCCCGTGGGGTCAAAATGATCACAAGAACGGTGAGCAAAAATCCCAGAACCACACGGGGGGACCTAGTGAATGACCTGCAGAGAGCTGGGACCAAAGTAACAAAGCCTACCATCAGTAACACACTACGCCGCCAGGGACTCAAATCCTGCAGTGCGAGACGTGTCCCCCTGCTTAAGCCAGTACATGTCCAGGCCCATCTGAAGTTTGCTAGAGTGCATTTGAATGATCCAGAAGAGGATTGGGAGAATGTCATATGGTCAGATGAAACCAAAATATAACTTTTTGGTAAAAACTCAACTCGTCGTGTTTGGAGGACAAAGAATGCTGAGTTGCATCCAAAGAACACCATACCTACTGTGAAGCATGGGGGTGGAAACATCATGCTTTGGGGCTGTTTTTCTGCAAAGGGACCAGGACGACTGATCCGTGTAAAGGAAAGATGAATGGGGCCATGTATCGTGAGATTTTGAGTGAAAACCTCCTTCCATCAGCAAGGGCATTGAAGATGAAACGTGGCTGGGTCTTTCAGCATGACAATGATCCCAAACACACCGCCCGGGCAACGAAGGAGTGGCTTCGTAAGAAGCATTTCAAGGTTCCTGGAGTGGCCTAGCCAGTCTCCAGATCTCAACCTTATAGAAAATCTTTGGAGGGAGTTGAAAGTCCGTGTTGCCCAGCGACAGCCGCAAAACATCACTGCTCTAGAGGAGATCTGCATGGAGGAATGGGCCAAAATACCAGCAACAGTGTGTGAAAACCTTGTGAAGACTTACAGAAAACGTTTGACCTGTGTCATTGCCAACAAAGGGTATATAACAAAGTATTGAGAAACTTTTGTTATTGACCAAATACTTATTTTCCACCATAATTTGCAAATAAATTCATTAAAAATCCTACAATGTGATTTTCTGGATTTTTTTTCTCATTTTGTCTGTCATAGTTGACGTGTACCTATGATGAAAATTACAGGCCTCTCTCATCTTTTTAAGTGGGAGAACTTGCACAATTGGTGGCTGACTAAATACTTTTTTTCCCCACTGTATATCATAATATAGCAACTCCACAGCCAGACTCTATAAAACATGATTTAGATGTTGTGTCTTATTTCTGTCTCCCTCTACAGAGAATTATATCTACCATTGACATCATGGGGCTCGTCTGAAATATGTAAAACCCAGACTATCAGCCTTAGAGCATGAGATTGAGATTTGTCACAGGCTCTGCTTAATGGGCAGCTGGAATGGTGTCTGAAAGGAAATGTCACCCTGCCTAGTTTGATTGTAATGGTTTGATGGACCTTGATGATATTTATGAACTAGGCGTATCAACCATCACATACATTGTAATATCTGTTCCTAAATGCCAACTTTAGACAATCCCAGGGACCTAGCCTGCCCCTAGCTAACATTATTCCCTCAAACACTGATAAGATGAACCCATTGGCTCTTGAGCATATGATACCTGGTCATTTCAGACACTGTACCTCTCAAATGGCGTGAAAGTGCTGTTAAATACCAATAACAAAAATTGGTCACAATAGATACACTTAACCTTCAATGATATGTGCAGCAGTACCCTGTGGCAGTTGAATCAGCTCATGGATTTGTAACAAAGTGTATCAATCTGTGTCTATTTTGTCAGTCCCTCTGGAAATGATCATTGTATTGCAGTATGTCCTACATACTTCGGTTCTTGAACATAATGATGACTAAAGACCCATTGTTACCTGTAACCTTTTCAACATGAATATTGTGTCCAGTTGCTACTCCTTGATCTCCTGATTTGACTTTTTATCATGGGTGATTTCCATTTGTAAGCTTGTTTGATTTAAGCTGACTTCTCTTGTGACCAAACCAAGTCACTGGATGGGAAATACTACTACTACTACTACTCAGTGCTGTAACGTTGTAACTATTGCTCTCGTGGCTTCTGCATGATATCAATAAATTCGTAGGACCAATGTTTCACTGCCCTTGATAGAACAAAAAAAAAATGGTATATTTTATGGACTGTTACAAGTTGTTTAGTGAGTGATACTGTACCATTGCCCACTGTATTATGTGCTTGTTATACATATTGCTCTATGACAAGCTTATAGCATCCGTATATGGGAATATTTGGTAGATTTATATTGTGTTATATTGTGATAGCATGTACATAAAAATACCTCCTCTGCAATAAATATTTATATGAAACTCAACTGTCTGCTTGGTGTTTTACAGGTAAGAATTTTCTGACATCGTAGGCTACAGGTGTATCTGTTGATAGCTTACTTAGGCTAAAGCCAGGAGACTGAAAAGCAAACTTCAAGGTATTTCTCAACTAAACAAGGACATTTTTCAAACATTTTGTTTTGCTCATGGTGTGTCTTTTACCTATCTTGATGAATGAGAAAATCTTGTCAAAGATAACAAGATGTAGAAGTGAAATAGTTGACAGTCAAAATCTCCAATTGGGAGTCTCTGAGATGAAAAGATACCAGAGGGGAAACAAACATACCAATAGTTCC